AGAGAGAGAGAGAGAGAGAGAGAGAGAGAGAGAGAGAGAGAGAGAGGCCATGAATTTGAAAAGGCACAAGGTGGGCTGGTAGTTATATATGGAAGGTTTGGGAGGACAAAAGGAAAGGGAGAGGAATGATGTAATTATAATCTCAATTTAAATAAATAGCAACAATAAAAGAAAAAAAAGAAAGATGAATATCAAGTAGACCTGAACTCAAGTTCAAACACTGAGTCTGGTCAGGTTGTTTAGCTTTGTGAAGCTTCAGTTTCCCAGTGGTTTCCTTAGCACAACATGTTTCAAGGATTACAAGAGACGAAGCATGTACAGTGTTACATGTATTTCCGACATGGTCAGCCTGCTTAATAATTGTCATTAAAACTATATGTGGCTGGAAAGATGGCTATGCAGTTACAAGCACTTGTTGTTCTTGCTAAGGACCAGAGTTCTGTTCCAGCATCCATTTTTAGAAGTTCAAAACTGTCTGTAGTTCTAACTTTAGGGTATTCAACACCCTCTTCTGGTATCTATGAGTGATGAGCAAGAGGCAGAGATAGACATATCTCTGAATTAGAGGCTAGCCTGGTTTACAGTGTGAGTGCCAGGACAGCCAGGACTACATAGAGAAGATGGATGGATGGATGGATGGATGGATGGATGGATGGATGGATGGATGAGTTTAGAGCCAAATAGAGTAGCATAGTCCTATAGTTACAATTGGTGTGGAGGTAGGAGGATCATGAGTTCAAGGATAGCTAGGAGTATATAGCAAGACCCTATCTCAACCAAACAAACAAGGGCTGATGAGAGGAGGGCTTGTAAGTAAAGGCGGGTGCTGCACAAGCCTGGCAACTCGTTCAATCCCTGAGACCCGGATAAAGATGGAAGGAGAAAACCAGCTCCAGAGTTGTCCTCTGACTTTCGCGTGTTGCTGTGTTACTTTAGCCCATATATATCATGCACTCACACACAAGTTATTATAAACAGACAAAATTATGAAGGGCACAGTGCCATGTACCAGCTACTTGGGAAGCTAAGGTGGAAGGATCACTTGAACCCATGAGTTCAAGATCAGCTTGGGCAGTATAGCGAGCTGCCAACTTCAAAAAGAAACAACACAAAACTAAAAGTAATCTGTTTCCAGTGTTCAAGCCTTAGTTAAATTTTGTTGAAACATGATTTCCCAATCATTTTAACTGGAGCAGTCTTATAGGAAATGGTGAAAGCATTAAAGGAACATAATGGAAAAACTCAGATTTAGGTTGTCAAGATGACTTAGCGGGTCAGGGCTCTTGATGCCAAACCTCATGATCTGAGTTCCATCTCTGGATCCCTGGGATCCATACGGTAGAAGGAAAGAAAGCTGATTTCTACATACATGTCATGGCATGTGTGCACATATGCATGTGTGCATCTACACACACACATACCACACACACACTCACAAACACAGAGAAAATAAATGAATATAATAACTTAAAATTATTAAAAAAATACAACACCTGGGCTCACTTTTACCCTCCTTACGCTCACAAGACTTCTCACTTCTATGACTCCATGAAGTGTGAAGTTTTTTACCTTATCAACAAGCAAGTGATTAGTTCCACAGTGAACACCAGCAAGGTATCCTTTAATTCAGTTCTGTTTGTTATCTACCTAACTATAGTTCCATATCCCAAATGCTGAGGCCTGGGTTCTGGATGATGCTTTATTCCATGTTAGATGCCAATCACAAACTCCAGTCTGTGATTACTGATCCATTCTAAATCCCATAATCCTCTTCTTGGGGTTTCACTAATTTACTTGAGTGACTCAGGGAAACACTTAATGTTAGTTGGTTTATTATACAGAACATTACAAAAGAGTACAGATAAATAGATAGGATGGGGTGTGAAGGGAGAGACCAAAGCTTGCCGCCATCTCTGAATGTGCCACCCTCTATGAACGCCATGGTTCTGTCTTAGAACTCTTTACCACATGTCCTTTGGATTGCTACAGAGACTTACTGCATGAGCATGATTGAAGCACAGGTATCTGGGTCCATCGTTAGTGATGCAAAGAGTTCATGTTCAGATCTGATGCCACCAGACTGGGTGGTGGAAGTCAACAGAGCCTGTCTGTCAGACTCCTCCTTGAAATTGTGATCTAGACCCTTTCTAAAATGGAGGTCTTAATATCTATTTTCAGACCAGATAGATTAGAGAGCTCCTGGCTAGCAACTTCTAGACAGAAAGGCCATGGAAGAATTAAGAGATTTTTGTATGCACTGTGCGGAGTGAAATTCTGTTTTCTATGACCTGCCTTTAGTAGGGAGTTACAAATTTCACCCAGAAACTTGGTGAAAAGGTGTGTGTATATGTCTGAGATGTCATAGTATCACTTGGACAAACATTTTATTAAAATGTAAGTTGCCTTAAGTAAGACCGTATAAGAATGCCTAATAACATTTATCTATTTATATATTTGTTTATAGTTTTATTTTATTTATTTTGGCTTCAGGAAAGATACGTGGCAAGCTTGATGCCTTTGCAGAAAAGTATTTCTCCGTGGAAGGTATGTGATATTCAAGCAATTTCCTCTTTCAGTTGTCTAGCTATAATTACCTTCTTTGGCTAGAGCAGTACCTTATTTCTAAATATAGCATGCCTTGTTTTCTAGAGTCCACCCCAGTTAAGGCAGTTCCTTCCAGAAGAATTTATGAAAACACTTGAGAAAACGGGGCCTCAGCTCACCTCTGGAATAAAGGGCGATTGGATTGGACTGTACCGGTTAAGCTCTTAACTTATTTTCCTCCTAGCTGTGGATCTTTTCTTAAAAACCTAGTTGAAAGCCAAGGTTATTCATATCATATGGGTTTCTGAACTATAAGACAGAAGGAAAGGCTGGTATGGTGGTGCATGCCTATAATCCAAACACTTGGGTGGTGGAGCCAGGAGGATCCGGGGGGAGTCAGCTTCTTTTAGTGAGTTTGTTTTTCCCAGGCTTCATAGCAAGCCTGGACTACTTGAGACCCCGTTTGTTCTTGTTGTTTTGTTTTGTTCTAAGAGGGGGATTTTGAGACCAGAAATAGGTCTTAACCAAACTTTTGCTTTTTTAATATTTATTTTGTAGGCAGTTTCTAAAGTCTCCAAATTTTGATGGCTGGTTCAAGACCCGACGGAAAGAAATGACCCAAAAATTGGAGGCCCTTCATCTAGAAGCTCTTTGTGAAGAGGTCAGAAAAGAGTGTGTTAGTACATGCAAGTGTTCAGGGTACACAAGTATTCTTAGAGGTGTCGAGTAATCCTCAGACGGCACTTTATTACACTTATGTGCTCATTCTGTGTGCGTGTGTGTGTGTGCATGCTGCAGTGTGAGTGTGAGTTGCAGCACACATCTCAAGAGCCGGTGCTCGTTTTCTCCCATGTGGGTTCCAGGTCTAACATGGGGTATCTGGCTTGACAGTAGTGCCTTTATCCACTGAGCCCTACTTTATTATAAATGGTACTCAAAGCTAACCTTCTTCTATCCTGTCCTGTGAGTCAGGGCTCTCTCTCAATTGTCACATCGGTTCAGTCATGATCTGCACTGTGCTGCACCTGTGGTTTAGGAGTTCAGTGAGCTTGCCTCAGTTTCCACCCGACAAGCTGTGAAGCCATGGCATGCTGTAGTCTGCTTTTTAGTCTATAAGAACTAACTATGCACATCTCTTTCCAGGTGTGTGTTCAGTGAACTCAGTTAGTAGCATGAAATTACCTGCAGTGAGAGTATTATACCCCAGAAATTGGCAAATACTAAAGCAGAGAGTACTCCTGGGATCAGGACTCATGAGGCTGCAGGCTCAGTCCAGCGGGCTTGTGCTGTGACCTAGTCACCGCCTCCAGTTGGGGCCTGCACTGTATGCATGTGGTTGAACTGCATTTCATCTTTGTCTCACGGCCTACTTCATAGGACACTTCTTGAGACAATACAGTCTAAAAAGTTTCATTTATATTTGGCTTTAAATGTTGAGGTGGGTTGGTCACAGTGTTATCTTTTCTGTCATAAACTCCTAGTGACTGTGGTTTTTAGAAAAATTCTATGATGAAAGCAACCTCAGGTAAGCCCAGTGAAGATCTTATTTGAAGATATAAAATTTATATCGAGTAGTACGTTCATGTTTGGTTATCTTGATTTGTTAGCTAAATATTCCTTATAAATTACTAATATAATAAAGATTAATATTGCATTGATCTGCTGTTTTGTTTTTTCCCTCTTGACAAAAGGGCCACCTCAGGAAGGAGTTTTCTTACATTTTATTATAGTTGTTTTGGCTGATATTGAAATTTACCTACTAAATACTTTTAGATTTTCATGAAAATTACCCTCCAGCTGTACTGCTATGTTGGAGTTGTGCCCCAACTTCCTCCCCATCTCGTTCTTCCTTTCCACTAGCCTCTCTGGTGGAAACAGAGAGGTTCTTCTGCGTATGTACCAATTGGGGATTTTCCTACTGTTCTAGGACCTCCTTCTCTGGATCCAGAAACACACAGAAGTAGAAACAGTGGACCTTGTATTGAAGCTGAAAAATAAGTTGGTATGTAACTAAAGAGATGAAGATATAAAATGGACCTTTTTGTGAAAATGGTTTTTTCATCTGAGCTGACACTCTATTGTGTACTACAGAAGTCATTTTAAAATGAGAACATTTGAGATTGGCCAATTGATGGTAGATCTCACTATAAATATTTGTTCACTCAAATGGATCAAATGATTCTAAGTTATTTGAAAGACATTTAAACAATTTTAAAAAATATTTTATGAGTATAAATGTATGGCTTGCTCTTAGTCAGTGCACCATATGCATGCAGTGCCTGCAGTAGCCAGAAAATGGCGCCCCCTCTGTTGGCAGTGTGAAGCCATGTGTGTGCTGAGTCTTGAACCCAGGTCTTCCAGAAGTGTAACCAGTACCCTTAACTGTTGTACTCTCCAGCCCCTCAAAAGACACTTAAAACAGAGTCTTTTGAACTCTCTAAAACCAACCATTGTCTCACCTTGATTTTTTTGCCACATAATATCTTTAGGCATCATCTGTGAATGTATAGAATGACCTTTTATTGAGGACCCTTTAAACCCCTCCCCGACTTGATGTTCTCTACAGTTTTAGTTTCTGTAAATTCTAGGATGAGACCTAAAGGTCCAAGAGATCATGTTATAAAAAGGTGCTTATATAGCAAATAGAATGTATTAATACAGATTCACTAAGACCATTCCTTATGTAGTTGCAGGCTGACCGAGAGAATTTACCTGTGAAACCTGACACTGTGGAGAAGTTACGGACACATATAGATGCAATTATCCTAGCCTTACCAGAGGATCTGCAAGGCATACTGCTCAAGACTGGCATGACATGATACTTGCCAGGTTTTCCAGCCAGAAAGGACTGTGAACCGTGAAGCATACTGACACTTCATCTAGACGCATACAGGAGCTATCTCAGTGGCAGTAGCACGGAAACCAGCAGCAATTGCTAGACACAGGTGGAAAGACTGAGCATATAAACAGACATTTTTAGTGCATTCTGTGGTGGTTCCACAATACTGAAATACCGAAAGACATTTCCATATTTTTAATCACGTTCTAAAGTGCTCTTATGAGAGACCTATGGGGCCATCAATGTAAGTGACTCCAAACTGCAATGCCGGCATTGCAGATATTTTTTTAAATTGGTGCTGCTTTGCCCAATCATGTTGAAACTCAGGGGAATATAAAAATAATGTTCACACTGGCTGTCTTTTTAAGGAGGAAAAACCGAACTTTCCAACTATAGTTAGATATAACTGAGGCTTATGTAGTGCCTTCCATTGTCCTAAATGTTTCACAGGGTCCAGCTGCTAATTGTAAAGCTTTTTTTTTCTTTCTTTTTTAAAAAATTATGATTCATAACTTTAAAGGCATTATGTCAAGTAATCACTTGCTCAATAGTGTTTCTTGTTGCCCCTCATGTTTATTGACTGGTGTTTTAAATTATCATGTAAGTTTTCATGTCGCAACTCTACCATTTTCACAAGTACGACTTAGGAGTTTTTCCAAAGGAAGGAGGCATATGTCGTTCTGGTTATGGAAGAGCTGATTTCTCCCTTCCCTTTTACTCACTGGGCCTGGATACACTAATTAGCTTGAGTATCTTTTGAAAACATTCTCAGTATGAACATCATAGTAGGTTGTTTTTTTAAATAATTACTCTTATGTCAAAGATACCCATAAGCCATTCATATAATAATTATTTGAGAATTTTACATTTACTTTTCAACATTATTGGGTAACACTATTTTCCCTAATGGATGATTTTCAGAAGACTTTTCCTGTTGTTGTTTGACATGGGACCTGTTGTGTAAATGAGCGTTATACTTGTGTTTGTTTTCATTTTGTTTGTACTACCTTGCCAAAAGTAGAATGAGATAGTTTGGTTTGTGTTTAGATGGGAGTGTCTGCAGAAGCCACTGTTCAGAGAGGCACACACAAAGTAGCACGTATGTAAATAGCTGTGAACAGCCAAAACTAGGAGTATGTGTTTGTCACACAGTGGCTTCAGAAGCCATCTCTTGTTCTCTGTTGATGTTATTTTTAAGGGCATTCCTGATCCAAGAAGTTTTCTCTATGCTTGTGACTGTGGTCTCATATCCAAGAATACCCTATTCATGGATACAGTCTTTTGAAGCATACCACTGTCCTAGAAAGAATATGGCATTTGAATGAAATCATTTGTCTGGATTGAATGGGTTATTTTGTGAAACAATACTGACCTTTCAGAAAAGGGGCAACTACTTTTATATGCTAAAGTACTTCATAACTTTCTGGGAAACTTTATTTAGGTAGAAATGGTCATCTTATTATTTTTCAAAAAGTGTATTTTAATAATTTCACAATTTATAGACAGTTTGTGACATGAATATGAATGTCATTAGTAAGATTTTTGAAATATACTTCTACAGGATATATCATTTTGAAGTTAATTTTGCACACCTAAAGAAAAACATGAAATGTCAATTAGCATGAAAATGCTGCTTTTACGTTTACCACATATAACAAACTCAACACATGTTGAAAACCAAATCATATTCACATAGTTTATCTCTTAATTTCAAATTATGTACCTACAAAAATAGCATAAGGTTGCATTGGAAACCCGAGGAAGACTGAATGGTAACTTAAATTTTTCATGTGATTTTCAGAATTGTCTCTTTCTTTGTTTTTAAAGAGCTTAGTATTCAAACCTGCCGTCTAATGTGTTATCTCCACCAGCATCAGAAGGAATCAGTGCTTCTAGGGTGTTATGTAATGCCTAGTGCCTTCTATTTACAGTGGAAAAGAGGTTTTGTGGAGGCATTTATGGTCATTACCAAAAGCTTGAATTAAAGGCCTTGGATTTTAAAACACTTAGGTACCTTGTGTTATGTGTCTTCTTTTTCGGTTGTTTTTGTTTTGGAGACAAGCTTTCATGTATCCTAGACTGGCTTCAGCTTCCATGTGTAGCCATGGATGATCTTGAACACATGGTAGAATCAAGATCAGGTCCTTGGTTTGCATGGCAAATGCCTATCTTCTGAGCCATCTTACTATCATGAAAACACATTTTAGATTTGGTTTGTTTGTTTTGACAAGGTATACAGCCCTGGGTGGCTTGGAACTCTATATAGATCAGGCTGGTCTCAAACTCACAGAGATCTTCCTTTCTTTTGTCTTCTCAGTAGTGGGATTAAAGCCATGAACCATCATGATTCATGCCTGGCTCAAAAGACAAATTTTAGTGACAGTTTTCAGGTACATATTTTATGAACTTTTCTGCCTTTCTCCTGAGTTTGTAACTCCTTCCCCCATCTCTGTTTTATTTCTGGTCTTAAAGGAAAACATGCAGTCTCTAATCAAGTATAATATATTAATTACAGAGTTCTTTTACATTTATTTTTACCATGTCTGTGTCTGTGTGTGCATGTGCATACATCTGACAGAATAGCTGGCCAGTGAGCTTCCAGGCATTCTTCTGCATCTGCCTCTCATCTCTCCTTAGGAGCACACATCCACCATTTCTGTGGGTTCTGGGACTGCAGCTCAGATGCACCTGTTTGTGTGGCAAGCACTTTTATCTCTTGGGTCATAGATATTGTCTCCAGTCCCTGCTTCCTGTTTTTTAGGGATCATTGCCTGCTGCAACTTAAAACCACTGTTTTAACATATGTTGCTGGTTTGGAGTTTGTGTTGTTTTAGGTGATGAATCTGATCCTTGTTCCTTGATCTTTGCTAGAAGGAAAACGTAACAACATAGTTTTAACAGGCTTCTAGGCATGAGAAGTCTTAACATTTGAGACCCTAGATATGCGAACTTAACAGTAGGTATTTTCTTAAAAAAAAATACAAGATTTTGCTATTTAGACTGGTCTAAAGCTTGCCATTCTAGGGTAATTTCAAACTTGTGATCCTCCTGCCTCAGCCTTCTGAATGTCAGGATAATATGTCTACCACCTCATCCTGTTAACATGAGGTACTTGTTTCAGTATCACTACAGCTCTGATTAATGACTTGTTAAATCTAATTAGAGAGTTGCAGAATATTTGTTAGGTAGCTTATCCCTAACTTTTTGAAGCATTGGAGATATTTTCTATAATTGGGAGCATATGATGGGTAGACATGGTGACTCACACATGGTATAATCCCAACATTCGGAAAGCTGAGGCAAGATTCTATGAGTTTGAGGGCAAACTGGGCTACATAGTGAGGTGGACAACAATCTGTTTTACAGGATTAACCTATCTCACACAGACAAAAAGTAAAAGTAAAATCAAAAGAAAACATTCATACCACGCAAAGGCCATAGATTTGTGTGAAGGAAAGCTTTGAAACATACCTTTTTTTTTTGATAAATGTTGCTATGATTTTGATCAACCTAACATGCAAGGTATAATGTTTACCCTCCCCTCCCCCCATCCTTCTCTTACCTTCATTTATTTAACTGGAACTTTTATAAAGGTAGATACAATATTACTGGACACAATGACCTCAGTTGGTATACTCTTTATGAGATTACTTTGAAGCATGCAGAAAACTTCTAGAAGTCAGGATGTGACTGCTATAATTCTTTTTTTTGTTGTTTGTTTGTTTGTTTGTTTTTCAAGACAAGGTTTCTTTGTATAGCCCTGGCTGTCCTGGAACTCACTCTGTAGACCAGGCTGGCCTCAAACTCAGAAATCTGCCTGCCTCTGCCTCCCAAGTGCTGGGATTAAAGGCATGTGCCACCACTGCCTGGCTAACTGCTATAATTCTTAAGGGAGATGGCTTAGTAGTTGAAATTTCTGTTTTTAAAAGTTTTCTGGGGTGAGAATGTGACTTAGCTCATGGAGTCCTCACTAGGCATGCTAGCATGCAGCAAGCCCAGTATAAACCGGATGTGGTGTCTCTCCTGGAGGTGAGAGGATCAGAAGTCCATGGTCATCCTCCACTACATGGTAAGGTTAAGGTCAACCTGGGCTACCTGAAAACTGTCTCAAAAAAAAAAAAAAAAAAAAAAAGCTAAAACAGTTCAGTGCTTTTTAAAGCACTAGGTAGGGGGAAATACTTCCCTTCAGTGAAGGAAGTCAGTAAATGTGGACTTAGTAAAGTCAAGCAATATATATTATTCTCTTCTAAGTCAATAACTTCTCCCCAAATTATTAAAGAGCAGACACAGCCTTGACCCCCAGGGAAGCTTAAATCAGATATACAAGACCCCCTCCCAAAATAATTTGGAATAAGTAAAAAACATCTTGTTAAAAAAAAGGAGTAAAGAAAAAGGAGCCTGGAGAGACGGCTCAGGAGTTTAAGCATGTAGCGTATAGTTTTTGCTATACCCTCCGTGTTCCTGGCTGGACGCACATGTGCACTTGCCCTGGTGCCACTCTGGATCCTTCATGGATAAAACATACACACACTTTAAGAGTATAGTTTGACGTCTCTCCCAGAGATATTTTAATATAACCATGAAACTCATAATCCTACTCATTTTGTAAATAAAACAATTCAAAGCAAATAAAGCAATCTAAACAAATATTAACTGATGAGATAGTGCTTTTGGTGTCCCCTGCCCTGACCTTCGTGAGATCAAGGCCTAAATTATTTATATAATAGTATAATATATAATAATATAATTTACATTTATATAATGTAAATTTAAATTCCCTTCTTATTGTATAAGCCTATTTATAGGCTCTAATTTTTTATCATACTGTACTTACAATCCCAGAAATCTCATGTGGACCACATTCCAAGATCCCGAAAAATTGTCCTGGCAAGACTTTTACATGTCTTTAATCATTTGTTTAATTATTTTCTCTAACTTCTCGCTTCTATGGAGCTTAATACCTGTTGTGTCTACCATCTGGCTCTCTGCCTCTCATCTTAAGCTCTTTGTATCAGTTTCGAACTGAGGGGGAAAAAATCTCCACGTGGCTCAGGCAGAATCTATCCTTAAAGGCAATTAAATCAGATTTATAACTCTGTCCTTTATCTGGTGGCTGGAGACAGACAGCTTTATTGTCTGTTTCTCATTGCCCTACTCCTAGCTCTCAGGCAACTGCAGCCTGTTTGCACAGCAGGAGTTCCCAGCATCTCTAAGCTGAGGCTCTCCCAAGCACCAGCTGTGTCCCTTTGTTTTAGTTTCACAAGCTAGAGCTATGTGACTCTGTTCTGTTGAGAAACCAGTTCTCCCCCCTATTAAACTATATCATTGTGTGTGTGTGATCCATCTAAGAATTTTTAAAATAATAGTGGATTCTCACCATCCACATAGCATGCCATCCTCACTGACTATCAAGAACCAATTAGGGAACAGGAGCTTCAGCATTTATTCCTGATCAGAGCATCAGAACCACCCCCTATAAAAGTTCTCCAGCTGTTTTTTCTAAAGACAGAGTTGGGCTCCTAGCACCTACATGGTGGCTCACAACTGGCTGGCTGTCACTCCAGTACCAGAGGCTTGGACAGCTGGCTTCCCTGTGCACATGATGCACAAAGATGCAGCAAAACACTCATGCACATGAAATAAAGTGAAATTTAAAAAGGAACAAAGAGATGATTATAAAAATCATGAAAACTAAGGTAAGGTTTAATTTCTACCAGGTTTGTCTCCACTGCCCCACTCTTGCATGTGTCTCACTGATGTACATAGACTGGCTTTGGACATGTTAACATTTGTTTTACCACACTTCACATCTCTGTAACTATTTTCCATCCACATGTTTCTGAGCTCCAACCTTGCTGGTAAACTCGCTATTCCCAGCTGTGATGAACCCAAGTTGGTGAGTAGGAAATCAGCTCCCTGTTAGTGAACACCACCTAGGTGGCTGGGTTACATGGCCCCTCTGCTTTGTTCATTGAACAGGCTAGGCTAGCTAAAGACTCCAAAAATTCCACACTAATGCCTACAGAAGAAAAGGTAGGTGGGTAAGAGTCTTCATAGAAGCATAGATACTTTTCTACTATTGAGGAAAATGTTCAGGAGATGTAACGATTCAAAAGGTGAGTAATGGGGTAACAAAAGAGAATGAGATTAATGATAGTTTACAGAGCCTAAGGGAGAGCAAGGGCAAAAATTCCACTGTTTATACAGTGATTAGTAGACCAAGTCACTTGTACTCTCTGAACAGTGAGTGATATATCTTGAGATTAAGTTTTATTTATTTACAATACTGGAATTTGAATGCTAGGCAAGTTACCACTAGGCAAAGTAAGAGGATTCAATGGAATACTGTATGTATGTTGCAATGTCTGGCTTTGTAATGCTTCATAACCACTTATTACTGCTAGATATTAGCACTATAGAATATATCCTCTCAAATGTTTGAAATGTGAAGAGAAATTTAGTTCTTTTGGTTTTTGCTAAGTAGCCAAGTTTAGTCTTGAACTCACAATCCTCCTATCCCAGACTCCAGAGTAGTAGGTGTTACAGACATGTACCACTGTCCCCAATTACTTTTTAAATAAGCTTGAAGTGTAGAAATAGCTACAGCATTAAACCCAAAAAGGCTACATATACTACATTTGTAAGCAAAGAGATCTCATTAAGAATAATTAGTCAGAGATAGATGTGTAATCCAGAATTTGAGAAGCTGAAGCAGGAAGAACTTGAGTTCGAGGTCTGGGCTATAAAGTTAGATGCTATTAGAAAGAACAAGGTGCTAGAGCGATAATTCGATGGGTAAGTGTACTTGCTGTACACACATCAGGGCCCAAGTTTGGATCCTGGCATCCTTGTAAGAACTTAGATGTTACGTGAGCCTGTAACCCCAAAACTGTGGGAAAAGAAGAAGAATGCAAGAAAAATGACTGGGGTATTCTGGGTACCAGCATAGCTTTGATTTTAGTGAGACACTCTTTTCTCAGCAGAGTAAGGTGAAGAATGACAGGACACC